AGACATTATTTTAAAATGGCAAATGGCTGTTTTTTCTGTATTTATAGTCAAAAATGCAGCCATGATTAACAGAAGAGACAAATCTTACTGATCCCAAACTTTTGAACATCAGTGTATAAACGTAATAATTTGGAAACACCGAATGGCTGAATATGTCACAACTGAACTGTTCACTTGAAAAATATCCATGAGTGAGTGTTTGTGTATACCTTCAACATAAGCATGTAGGCGATCATGTTATGCAGAAGAGTGGCCAGTAGTCTGTCCTCATCGTCCTCCAGTCTCTTGCGGTCATGATCTCCAAGAGACAGATACCTGAGAGACCACAGCACAGTCACATTTAGACAACATAAACAAAACACAACAGCACAGATAACATCTGATTCCTAGCATAACTAAATAGCTTATAGCTTAAAAGTATTCCAATGTGTTGTTCATTCTCCTGGAGCGGAAAATGTGAAGATGGGTGAAATTTGTATAAAAGCATGTGAACAACCAGTATGTATTCTGCATTCTATCAGTAAAGTATGTAAACTTCTGAAATCAGAGGATTATGAATGAAAGAAATTCATTCTGGACTAGTTATGCAGATGTTTTTCAATTTCATTTTGTGTTGCTTTCGATTCAGTGTGAACAATTAGGTAGGCATTTAAAGAATATACTAACCTGTCAATCATTTCTTGAGGTCCCTGATCCATCCCCATTCCTTCCCTTTCCAACATAACGGCATCCAGGTAGGCATCCTCCCAGAACTGCATCTGATCCCACAGAGTAGAGCGCTCCTTACCTACCCATACACACATTTTCACTCTTAACTTGAGTAAAACAGTATTTCAATTCAACATGCCAGCATAAAACACTTCTTATTGTAAATGTCAGATGTTCAAGACATAGCCATAAAAACTAGAGTATTAAATTTTAAATGAGTATTAAAATAAAACACCCTCCATAAATTAACAAACAGAAAGAGACCTCAAGCACCCAAAGCAACTGCATGCTGTAATAGATAGAGCTTGCTATCAAACCTTATGAAATTAATTTTAACACAGAGATAACACACGCCTCCATACATCTGCTTATTGTTTTAGCATTCACATTCTCTCAAGCAGCTTTCATCACCCCTCAATTTCACACAAACACATTAAATTACAAAATAAAGTTGGCGTATCTGCTCCTTCTGGCTTGTGTATTTTAATTCTCTCTTCATGCAAACAGTACCATGCACACACCAATAAATTCAAATATATTTCATTTCATGGGAAAAATTAAAAACACCCTACATGCTTCTTTACAAGACTTAAACACAGCCACAGTATGGATGTAAGGGAAGACATGTCGTGTCTAATACTACAACTTCACAATCCCAAAATACACACATCCCAAAGGTCAAAGGCAGAGTTCAGCCATACTCAGAGAAAAGGTTTCCATGGCAGCATCCTCCAGTTGGTCCCAAACTGAGCTTTTATCTCGCCCTTTGTGGCATTAAACGGAAGGAGAAAAAGAAAAAAGAGGGAGTGGGAAAAGGCGACAGAGCACAAGGCAAAGAAAGTGTTAGAAGCGAAGCTGTGTGCTGTCAGAGATAGGCAAACCAATAATTCATCACACGATGGTTAATATGAGGACATATTTGGAGCTCAAGAGCAAACAGCAAATTAACAGAACACTTTACAAAGCTCTAGTGGTCAGAACATAAGCAGGATTTACAGAATAAACTGTTGCAATCATTAGGATAAAGTCAGTAATAAAGATTTGTTTTGTGCAGCAGATATGTTACTACAATTTTAAAATGTTGAGGTTATGGAAAACCAACAGAGACAACTTTTGGAAATACCGCATCATTTTAATGAACACAGATATTTAAAAATATGCCAGAGTTTATTACTAAAGCAGTGAGAACGGACATGAAAGAAGAAAAGAAAAAAGGAAACAAAATGAATGAAAGGAAAGGAATGTTAAATGGATTTTAAAAAAAAAGAAAGAGGAATAACTCTTACCCAGCAGCCCCTCACACAGATATATCCTCATGCTAACATCCTCGAGGGGCGGAGCTGGTGTTCCCTTATTAACACCAACAGGTTCCTTCACTCCTGGCTTCAGCTTATGAGTCTTGCCCTATGTGTGTGACATTGACCACCATGTTCATATTCATTATTTTATTATCTTTCATTTGATCAGATGCAGTGAAGAGAATGACTAAAACAGAGAGAACTACTGACAAACACAGAGCTGGTCGCAGGGTTGGTCTCAATCTCGCTGTCAGACAGTGTGCCACGGGACAGGTTGAGATGTTGAGCATGTCTTCCTGTCAGGCCGTCTCCAGCAGTGCTGCTCAGGTCGCTGTCTGCACCCAGCGTCTCACCTGAGCTGTTACTCACCTGCAGATCCAAGTTCAGACATCAGCAATAGCACAACAATCAAGAGGCATTATGCAGCTTCTCAATGGGATCGTTCATTTTAAATTGAAAAATCTAAATGTTTAAAATCAGCATGATTTTTCTGGGAAACGAAATTAAGCTGATTGTTTACACTAATGTTTAAAAGTTTGGAGTTGTTAAGATATTTTTAATGTTTTTGAGAAAAGTCTGCTACCCAAGGCTGCAATTATTTTATCAAAAATACAATAATAACAGCAATATTGTGAAATGTTATTACAATTTAAAATAACAGATTTCTAATTTAATACATTTTAAAACAATTTATCCCTGTGAGGGGAAAGCAGAATTTTCTGCAGCTATTACACCAGTCTTCAGTTTCACCTGATCCTTCAGAAATCATTCTAATATGCTGATTTGGTGCTCATGAAACATTTGTTATTGTTATTCTTTGATTAAAATAAAGTTCAAAAGAACATCATTCATTTGAAACATAAATAAGTAACTTAAGAAACTTAAGCATGTCTTTATTTAATTAAATGCATCCTTTCTGAATAAAAAGTCGTGGCTTAATGGTTAGAGAGTCGTAACCCAAAGGTTGCTGGTTCGAGTCTCGTACCCACAGGGATTGTAGGTGGGGGGAGTGAATGTACTCTCTCCCACCTTCAATACCACGACTGAGGTGCCCTTGAGCAAGGCACTGAACCCCCAACTGCTCCCCAGCTGCCCACTGCTCCGGGTGTGTGGGTGTGTGTGTGTGTGTGTGTGTTCACTGCTGTGTGTGTGCACTTTGGATGGGATAAATGCAGAGCACTAATTCCAAGTATGGGTCACCATACTTGGCCACATGTCACTTCACTTTACTAAAAGTTTTAATTAAAAAAAAAAAAAAACTATTGACCCCCAAACTTTTGAAAGGTAGTATATAAATCAAAAGTGACTCAATTGACTGAAAGCTTCAAGCTTGAGCTGTATTCCAAGTCTTTTGAGGAGAGACTGGATCCTAAATAATTTATTCAGAGAACATATTCAAATATCAGATTCAGAACACCTGAAAGATAGCATCGGAGTTGTATGGACTACTGTTATGGTCATTCTGCTTAAAGTCTGATTTTGTGGTCTATAGGAGAAAGAAAATATCAAGTTTGGATTGATAAGGGGATAAAAGTAAATTATGAAAGAATTTTTATTTTTGAGTGAGCTATCTATAAACACAAACACTACACTACACAAACAGAAAGTAACAAACTTGTCTACAACGCAAGATAGAAATAAATAGATTTTTGGTATGGCCACAACAATAAGTCTGTAAAAAACTGTGAAACAAAACTGTCTGTGGGAACTACATATGATCTGGATCAGCAGGAGTGTATTTTAAGGAAAGAATGGCAGTGTCTCTGTAATGGCCGTGCCCTACCACTGTGCTAGCCTCTGAGTCCTGGCTGGTGCTTCGCGTCAGAGCAGGAGGCTCGGAGCTCGCCAGGGACTCCGTATCACTCTTCTGCAGAGGAGACGAGCAAGAAGAACAGAGATGAAAAAAGGAAATTATGAACAATATGAACAATAGTATGTACAGGTATATTTATATGCATTAAATTCCAAAATAATAAGTAAATAAGTTTTAAGATTTATATTGTGATATTAGGTTAAAACCCACCTGTGAGCCAGACGTCACACTGAGGCCACTGTCAGCACTGATCTGTGATTTCTTTTCCTCAGTGTCTCCACCTTCCAGACGCTGTTTTCCTCCATCAGCCCCTGTAGAAAGCACATAATCAGCTCTTCCATCCATTAACTCTCTGCGCTGCATTTTGGAACGTCACATGACTAACAGCGAGCTGAAGCCATCTCTGTTCTGGAGAGTGACATAACCGTTATCGATTTCACAGAGGGGAATAATGCCATTCAGCCGGCGGCCACTCATTAGACTACGCAGGTAAGGCAGAGAAAAACAAATAATGATTGCGGTCATATTGGGGAAACTCACAGAAGCAGATCAGCTGACAATGGGCCAGATCAGTTCACAGTAGCGCTAGGTATCACAGACACGCAGACAGAAGCAGTCACACATGCAGGCAAACACAGTTAATCCATCGGACAGGAGGAAGCTTCAGCTACAACTAGCGCACTCACTGCTTCTTAAACGAAGAAACCAATATTGCGATTGCAAACCCCAACTTGGTTAAATTACGCTGTACTGTATGAGGCATCAAGAACAAAAGAAATATAATAATAGTAAAGCTGTATTTTAAATCTTCCATAGTGAAATCAAAGCGAAATTAGTGGCTTTTTCAGCATTTTCTTCACAGATGCATGTGGTCTTTGGAACTCTAACAAGATTCTTTGAAATTCACTCAATACTCGACTGAAATAAGTAACTGAAATGTGCCATAATGTAGTTTATCTCACATCTCATACTTAGATAATTAAGAAATTAAGTGGAAAACCAAAGACAACACCGTGTTCAGTCATCGAGAAGTAACTGTAAGAAGAACTGCTCTTCAAAAATCATCAGATTTTCATTTATTTACACCACCTGACAGCAATGAAAAAATAAATAAATGTAGGAACTCAACAAAAAAATTGAAAAAATCTAGGTGCGTGTGGGATAAATCTATTCCATCACGGTTGAAAAAATGTGAATGCTTTCAAGAAAAGTCGCTAAGGTAAAAACAAAACAAACCAGTCATTAATAGGGATGAGCATGAGTACTATGAAGTGAAAGCATTGACTAATTAATTGATCGTTTTGTGATTGGTTACAACAGTATATCGGGATGGTACCTTGTAGTCTGATTGCTCTGATTGGACCCCACCTACACACAGAGACGGACTTTCAGTCCGCATCAGAAACGACACTCATCACACGGAGTGTATACACAGGCACACATTCTAGCACAGGGGTCTTGCATTGCATTTTTAAATGAACTATTAAAAGAACTAAACTAGACCAAAAAGATTTGTACAGCAAATCTTAAAAAACACTCAGCTCATGGCATGAGATGCTTAAATAAAACGGAAAGATGTGATATAAAAAAAGTGCTCAGTTCCCACCCAGAGTTCTCAAGTAGCCCAAGCTGATATGTGCGAAGTACTCAAGCTGTCAAAATGCACATCTCTAGTCAAGAGTTGGATTTGCACACTTAGAAATACTGGCCCAAATACTGATTTAATTTCAATATAAGCTAAATCTTTATGTGTTCAGGACTTATTTTTAAACCTCAAAATTGACTGAATGGATTGCAAATTTTAACTTTGCAACTTTATACCTTGCTCCTTTTAAATAAATGCTATTTATTTGTTGACAATGTTTGGGCCACATGTCTAAATGGGCTTTTTGAAAAGTAGTTGAATATCTGGGGGCAGATTCTGTTTCTCCCCACAATAGAAAGTGGTTTAAGGGAAGAGGACTGGTGCAGGTAGAAGGACAGAGTCCCTGTTTTGCAGTTCTGCAAAGGAAAGTCTAATTGGGTGCTTAGGGAAGTGATCTTACTCTGTTCTTTATCCAAAGCTTTTTGCTTTCTGTTATCCTGGTGCTTGCTCCACAATTCTACCCAAGATGCATTGCAAGCAAGGAGAGAAAGACAGAGAGAGAATCAGAGAGCCAGTTGAATGGTCAGATATGGAGGATGAGCTTTTTTTTTTTTTAAGAGAAAAAAAATTCAAAAAACAAAAAAAACTGAAAAAGGGCAAAATCTAATTTTTCACCCCACAATAGAAAGTGGTTTAAGGGAAGAGGACTGGTGCAGGTAGAAGGACAGAGTTGTTTTGCAGTTCTGCAAAGGAAAGTCTAATTGGGTGCTTAGGGAAGTGATCTTACTCTGTTCTTTATCCAAAGCTTTTTGCTTTCTGTTATCCTGGTGCTTGCTCCACAATTCTACCCAAGATGCATTGCAAGCAAGGAGAGAAAGACAGAGAGAGAATCAGAGAGCCAGTTGAATGGTCAGATATGGAGGATGAGCTTTTTTCTTTTCTTTTTTTTTTTTTAAGAGAAAAATAATTCAAAAAACAAATAAAACTGAACAAGTGCAAAATCTAATTTTTCAAAACAAGGATGTTTTGCAATGATCACACAGCCATATGCAAGCTAAATGAAGGATCTGATGTCACGTAAAACCATCCAATCATTTAAAGCTAATTGAGTCCCATTACAAAACATCCTAAGCTCTGCGACCCTGTTCCTGAAGAGCCAAAATGATGGATTTCACAAAATCAGCCTCATGACTCAGTTTTCTTTCCCCATTGTTGTCATCCATAATGGGAAATGGCTCTCCAAGGCGAGGGTGGATGGCCTGGGAGATGCAAAAGGTGTGAGATGAGGACGACAAATCAGCCTCACAGCTGGTGGGTGAAATGAGCTGTTGCAAAAGCAGGGGGTGCAGTCTCAAAGACATTCCGTAGAATTGCAGGTGCATTATTACCAAAGGACAGACAAGGCAAGGTTATGAGGGTTGGGCTTTGGAGAGGGTGAACGGTCCCCTGTACACAGACCCAGATATGACTGCCAATCAGAGACCTGGGCCTAAAAATCCACAAGCCATTTCAGACATTTTTAATGTAAGCAGACGTCTGTGGTCATCATAGGACTGTTAACAGGGGAGGAAACAGCTCAGGACCCTTTTAAAGAGAGTAGTGGTACAGTCCAAGACCTTCACCGTCCCACTATTTCACTCTTAGTTAGCTGCAGGTCTTTCACTAACATGCATCCAATGGATTTAAGGGGAGTCAGGACTGGCATTCAGGATTTGAAAAAAAAAACACGTTGAACATTCCAGAAGAAGTCTACATAAACTGGGTTCATACCTATCACAATATTCCACTGATGTGTCTACACCAACCAATGCCACCTTAAAATATTTGTTGGCTTCAAAAGCTATGGAACTGGAGAATTTGACAACTGTTTTTGGAAGGATCACTCATACTACAATGTTTAAAGGAATATTTAAACCAAAAAAAAAAATCTGTCATTATCTGAGCCTCATGTCATTCCAAACCTGTATGGAACACGAAAGTAGAAGTAGTAGTAAAAGTAGAAGTAGATAGTAAATTTGTTTTCTGTCCATCAATGAAGGGTCCCAGTGCAATGTTTTAGACCCCAATGACTTTCAAAACATCTTTTTTTGTGTTCCACAGAAGATAGAATGTCATACAGGTTTGAAACAGCATGAGGATGAGTAAATTATGGCACAATTTTAGTTTTCTGGTAAAAGAACTCTTGAGCCAACTTAGGTCTTAACTTCTGGCACAAAGTCGGTGTAGACAGTTAATGAAATAGAGGATGCGGCCCTAAGGGACAGGTGGCTCCCAGAGAGCTCAGGGAACGTAACAAGCAGCGAGAAGGGGGCCATGCAATGGGGACTGCGGTTTACACACCAATGGAGGCAATAAAATTCTCCTCGTTCAGACTCCGGGTATCAAACTGCCGTGACGATTTCTCAGTAGAGGGTGGTGGCAATTGGATACGGGGTACCAGGAGCACGCCTGCCGCCCTGGCGCTCTCCATTCGGCCCGATGGGCTCTCCTTACTGCCTGGGCTGCTAACACCCTCCATGGAGCTCCGTTTCCGCTTCTCTGGGTCTGCGAGCCACAAGTGGGCCCCGAGGAAATAGAGCACGGGAAAAAGGAAGAAGAGGAAACAGCAAAGACACATGGAGACAAAAAGGATAGAAGTTAAATTTGAAGGTAGGTTACAGGTGATTTCTCCAAACAGGTAGAGAAAAAAATGCTGAAACCCAAGGATATGTAAAAGTGTCTGACACCAAGATTCACACGGCTGTGAAGAGGAACAAGAACCTTCTAGAAAGCAGAAACTCTTTGTGTTGGTATATATCTACTGCTCTGAACGCAGGCAGAAACCATGTTTGATGCTAAATATTAACAAAAAAATTTAATTTGGACATTCGAATGAAAGTTACCTTTGGTTTGGTAGTGGGTGCGTGCTATCTCTAGCAGACTGAAGACACTGGCCATGCCTCCCAGGCCAGCATTAGTGTATGAGTGCTCCAAACTGGACACTGTGCACTTCAATAGGTCCAACATGCCTTTGTATACCTTCCTGTTTATCTCCTATATAAACAGGCACACAAAACCATATAATAAATAAAGCACAAGTCAAAGTAGAGTTTTTGTTCATCAACTGTTGTTTTACTTGTCACTCCAACTTACCACGTCTCTTATAACTTCCTGCTGAGCGTCCTCCTCTGATTGGACCACACGGTTGAGTTTGCTGAGCACAAAGACTCGCAGCTGTTCATTCTCTAGCAGGCGGCGTACCTTCTTCATGTTGAGCCAACCCACACCCTGCCCATCGAGCACGCTCTGGACCACCTCCTTAAGAAACTGCTGGTTCTCACTGCACAGCAAAAAGAGGAAGAGCCACATATTCACTTCACAGGCATTCAACAGAGCACAACAGAAGGGATAAAAAAGTAAAAATCCCATTAATTTTTTGCCATAAAATAATTAATTTTAACAATTTTGTTGTTCTGAGGTTATAAATTAATGGTATATTTTTAATAATACCTATATTTTTAACAATATCAGTTAGGGCATCATGACAGAATTATTATTATTTTTTTAATGTATTCTTTTTATTTCGCAAAGATACATTATATTACTAAAGAATTCCATTTCAAATAAATGCTGTTCTTTTGAACTGTCCTTTAAACATTAATAACGAGAAATGGTTCTAGAGCATAAATTCAGCAAATCAGAATGATTTCTGAAGGATCATTCTAACATGACAGCTTTGCCACCACAAGAATAAATTACATTTTAAAATATAACTTCAAACAGAAAAGAACCATGCATGTATAAATTGATAATGTATGTACAATGTATTTCTAAATATTATTTATATAAAAACATTTTATATTATTATATTATTTGTATTTAAATTAAAAGTACTAGTGGGTGGTCACCATTGTACTCTTGTTATATATGCATGATAGCACTACTTGTAGTGTTTTCTTGCTTGGAGTAATCACATCTGCTTGCATTTTTCTAATTCGCAACATCCTTCAGATAAAAGTGCCTAAATGAATTAATATGAGCGTCACTGCAGTACCTGGTGTTGTTGGCTCTGCCCTGAGGAGATGGAGACTCTCTCTTGACGGTGGGGCTGTGCTTAATAACAGAGGATTTCTGATCTACCAGCGCTCTGGGAGCTCGAGCACCTACAACAGACCATTCACTTTGTCAGACTGGATATAGACCTTATATGAACGTATGTGTGTGTCACGAAACCTGCTTCCATGTGTCAACACCCACCCATCCACCAAACTACTCACCTCTACATACACACACACACACACACACACACACACACACACAAATAAAGTGTGAATTCATTTAAATTATTTAATAAAAAATTCACTTGAGAACACACATCTAATAAACACCACAGCTGAAACACAATGACTACAGCATTAAAACACAGTGCAGTCTATGGCCTCTACACAGATGTTTTAACCCTGCATCTGGTAATAGTACAGAATCAATCTAAATAAAGGGCAACACACATACATCTTTTAACAGATTCACACACTCAACCAACTTGCAAATTTTCCTTTGCGCCTCAGTATTTTGGACATTGCAGTAAGGGGGTATTACATGACTAATGATGCTAACGTTGACAGTTAGAGGTGCAACTGAAGGACTGGAGCAGTAAGGAGAGCTACAGGAACAATGACGCTTGTTGGAGGAAACACACACACACACACAGGCAAAGAACAGAGTGAGAAAGATAAGTGGAAGAATGGATGAGTGAGAAACAGACTGCATGGCAACAAGAAACACAAAAAAAAGAACGAAAAAAGCCCTCTCAGTTCAGATGATCATACTACACACACTTAGCTGTGAGTGTATGGCAACAGTACATACACCAACACACACAAAGCAATTCAGTGTGTGTGTGTGTCTATCCAGCCTCTGTGCATTTGTGCATTCATCTGAACATTTACATGCGTAAAGCACAACCGGTGCATGGATGGTTTGTGCTGCATACAAAGGCATTAACAGATGGACATCTTTACACACATTTCACACTGTGTGGTTAGATTACACGTTCGATTGGGCAAGGGAATATTTTCAGACTTACATGCCTCATAATGAAGTCTGAATAACTATATGTCATAAAGAGGTATTTTGAATCAGTTTTCAACAGAGATAATAATAAGAAATATTAGCAACTCAGCATATTAGAATATTTTTTGAAGAATCATGTCACACTGGAGATTGAAGTAATGGCTTCTGAGAATTGATAATAAACAACATTTTAAAATATATTAAAATACAAAACAGTTAATTTAAATTTGAACATTATTTCACAATATTACTGTATTTACTATATTTGAATATAGATTATTTACTGCATTTTTGATCAAATAAATGAAGCCTTGGTGATCAATAAAGAAATCTTACCAACCTTAAAATATAATGTACAGTCAGTAGGTCATTATTGGATGAACACAGAAAGGATGATCAGGACCCCAGTGTGGCACAGAACAATCTTCAATAACCATGAATCAGTTTATTCTGCACTAACAACTGAATAATTGACCCTTTTTCCCCACAAAAACCAGCATTCATTTACAAATAAATAAAATGCAGTCAAAGTAGCCACTTTCTACCTAGATCTGCACATTCTGGACAATCTCTCAAACAACTTCATCTCAGTTCTAGGATAATCCAAAATCCAAATGCGGCCAAGAGCTTATTAGACAAGCCTCACTGAGATCTTCAATCTCTCTAACCTGCACTTTTCCCAAAATTTCTATATGCTATAGCACAAGTCCTATTCTTTCTACAACATTACAGGCCCAGTCCATCAACAGAAGACATGACATGTGAACAAAAGAGTCAAATGGTTACAATCACAGTGACTGACATCTGACATTAGGTGACCGTCGGATGTGAGGAATGAGGAAGCAACGGTGGAACAGGATGCTGGGAGATGTAGCTGACTGGCTTTGGAGAAGCATGCAGCTCACGCAGCAAAGGGCAGAACCCACCTTCTCCGCTCCCCGGGCCGATCTCTGTTACAATCTCCATTAGAGAATTTAGCCCAAATACTGGACACAGAAGCCAGAATTAGTGCAGGGGGTCAAAGAGGGGACAGAGAACAACACCGGCCCAGACAGAACCAGTCCAAACATCAACCCACAACCACAAGCACCGGACACATGTACATATACAACAGAGAAAACCAGCAGAGAGCATGGAACATGTAAGAAAGAGAGAGAGAGAGAGAGAGAGAGAGAGAGAGAGAGAGAGAGAGAGAGAGAGAGAGAGAGAGAAAAGAGGAAAAAAGAGAAAGAGAGAGGGAAAAAATGAGAGAAAGACGGAAATCAGAAAGATACAAGCATTTCAGACTTTCATTTGGTCAGAATAGCTTGTGATTTGGGAGGTCTTGATTAACTGTGATTACATTTGATTAATGATAGAATGAAGCTATTCTACAAAACTCAATTCATGAAAATAACAAAAACTAAACAGATACCATGGCTAATATAACCAGTAATGTTATAAAAACGTTTCAGCCCTAAATAATAAATAATATATAAAGGAATTCAAATATTTTTATCTTTAAAGTTGCCATGAAATCTATTTTGTAAATGCATGTTACTCATCTTAACTTGAACAATTCATTTGTGCATGTTTCAATTATTAAAAGACTCAAGACTCAATAGAACCAAGTCCCCATTCAAAATACTTTTTTTCTGATAATCCATTACATTTGTATGTACAATCCAGAAGAATAGATGCTGCTCCTTTTGGTTCATCACAACTTTAAAGGAATTACCACATTCAACATGACATGAAATCTAGATTCATTCCTCTCAGTGTGAGTTTTAAAATTCAGAATAGTCATAACTCATTGATTAATATTGTTATATTACATAGTATACTGTATTTGAAAACCCTGTACATTTTGATGCTGTTTGAGGAATATAAACTCTGAAAAGAGCAAAAAATTACTTATTGGAAATAGCAAAGAGGGCACATTTTTAATAACATTACATCAAATTGATTTTTGTTTATTGTTAAAGAAAACAAGGCCAATAGCACCTTTTTCAAATTGGCACAGTATAACCACTGGTCAATAGAGGCAGTGAAACTATTCTGAAAAGGGGTGTGCTTGTGTGTTCACTGAACATTAAAAGAAAAAAAATTATTACCAGTCGACAATTTAGCTGGAATGGTTTGGCCTCCCCAGGAGAGCTCTATTGGTTTTCTCCTGTACCCAGCTCTGCTTAAAGCAGCACAATATCTGTGCATACAAGCTACAACCCTTGACATATCACCGATTTATCTTAAAACACCTACACAACCACCAGACTTCAAAGTCTTCTTTATCGAGACTTTGGTGGAAACCCATCATCCAAGTTTACTACATTTCAGTTCTGAAGCTGAACAGAGCTTGAAATGCACAATGTACTGTAATGGTTTTGTTATCTTCAATTCACCCAAGAAGTTCAGTTGGAATTGAAATGGAACAGACCTCAACTCTGTCTCCAATTGAGATGACACACAAATGAAGGAAAGATCACTTCAAAAACACACCGCACACGACACAAAGAGCAGTCAAAAATCACATCATTCCATTCCTACAGAAACATCCTTTCTGTATAGAAAGAAAAATGTTTCGAAATGCAACCACAAACTGGCTGTTGTCTATTAAGTGGTGCCACCATTATTATGTTCATTACTAATAATCACAGAATAGGAACGAGGAGAAGGAAAGGCATAGTGGATATATGTGAGCACAGATATATCCTCTATCTTAGAGGTTCCAAACTGCTGTCCCACGAGATTTTATTTTCCAACCCTGAAATAGCACACATTATCAGTTGTTTGGCGCTATAGTTCAGATTCAGGGGTGTAAAAGGAAGCATCCAGGACAGGAGATAGGAACCAATGCAAGTCTGTCAGTCAGGTTCAGAGTGAGAAAAGTGGGCAGAGTTTCTCATTCTCTCAGGACTCAAAGGGTCTATATTTATATCAACAGCAACTGGTTTCATCATTAGGGCAGGATACAGATATGAAACATACCAGGACTCTCAGGACTGTCATCAGCATCGTCTGAGCAATACAATCATCCAAAATCATAAACAAACAGAAAATAAAGTCAACAATAACAACAGCAGCTATAAGAACTGTGGTTGCTAGCTTAGAAAGTGACTATGTCTACGCCTTTCTGTTTCTTCACAGTGCAAAGAGGAGGCAAGATACTGGTCACTTTCTGGGCAGCAACACTGGATAAAAGACATGTGGGTTAGGGTAAAGAAATCAGGCAACATTCCCACAAACCTTGATATGTGTCCTCTGTTAAATCAAAATGTAAATATTCTTTAAAATAATATATTTGTTTTAATAAAACAAATTATAAAGGAAGAAGAGAAAAAAGTAGAAAAATTAAAACTAGTCAACTAAGATGAAGAAACATTCCTTTTAAACAGCTGAGGTTGGAATCTTTCTAAACCTAATGCCTGAACTAAACAGACATAGTGTTACTTTTCCTTAAACTACAGAATTACTGAAGTAGAATTAACATCTGCTTATCTGACCCTTAAAGGGGTCATATGACGTTGCTAAAAAGAACATTATTTGGTGTAATGCAATGTGTTTATGCGGTTTAAGGTAAAAAAAAAAAAACACATTATTTTCCACATACCGTACATTATTGTTGCTCCTCTATGCCCTGCCTTTCTGAAACGCGTCGATTTTTACAAAGCTTATCGTTCTAAAAAGCACGGTGTGCTGTGATTGGCCAGCTATCTAGTGTGTTGTGATTGGCTGGATACCTCAAGCGTGTGATGGAAATGTTACGCCCCTTATCAAGTTTAGGAAACTTCTAAAATGCCGTACCGTAAAATGCACTTCTAGTTGTATCCTCTTTTGGAAGGCCAAACAAAGTAGTTTGGCTTTTGCAATGAAACACAGCATCTCCACGACATGGTGGTCAACAATATTACAGCGAGAATAAAATTTATGCTTTCTTTCTTTGCGTATACATTTGGGCGGTGCTATGCAAATCGTCCCACACAGTGGCCAGCTATCTAGTGTGTTGTGATTGGCTGGATACCTCAAGCGTGTGTTGGAAATGTTACGCCCCTTATCAAGTTTAGGAAACTTCTAAAATGCCGTACAGTAAAATGCACTTCTAGTTGTATCCTCTTTTGGAAGGCCAAACAAAGTAGTTTGGCTTTTGCAATGAAACACAGCATCTCCACGACATGGTGGTCAACAATATTACAGCGAGAATAAAATTTATGCTTTCTTTCTTTGCGTATACATTTGGGCGGTGCTATGCAAATCGTCCCACACAGTGATGTAGATATGTGTGGGAGTGTTTAAACGAGGCGTTTTAGGAGGGCATGGATGAGCGTTCACTTTTATAAAGAATATCTCTTTGGGTTTGAAACTTTAATCTTTGCAACTTTATGGATCTTCTGTATGCAAACACAGCTTTTAACACTCCAAAGACAAAGGAAAACATGAAATCGCATCATATGGCCCCTTTAAATTACTTGAATTTACAACAAGATTGTCTAATTGGAGTGATTCAACCATTAATAGCACTGTCTTTGTAAAGACGGCAGTAAGAATGAAGACAGGGAAAGGAAAGATAAAGAAAGGGTTTGGAGAGAAGGAGAAGAAGAAGAGGAGGAGAAGATAACTGGATTAGAATGGAGGAATGAGACAGGGCGGTGGAGGTAATACAACAAGATTGTCTAATTGGAGTGATTCAACCATTAATAGCACTGTCTTTGTAAAGACGGCAGTAAGAATGAAGAAGACAGGGAAAGGAAAGATAAAGAAAGGGTTTGGAGAGAAGGAGAAGAAGAAGAGGAGGAGAAGATAACTGGATTAGAATGGAGGAATGAGACAGGGCGAGATGGGTGGATGAGTAGGAAGGTCACATGGAGAGATCTGAGGGGATGTATGTACCTTTGAGGCTGGGGAACGGCGTGTTCTTCTCTCGTGCTTTATTAGGCAGAGCCAGACTGGACAGACTGAAACTGGTGCCATGGTTTTTATACAGGTTACCTGCACACATACGATTAAGGTGAACCGTATAAAAGAGAACACAAGTTTGTGTGTAATGCAGCAACAATACCAGAAATTTCAATAGTCAGTCTCAATACTAGGGATGCAACGATTATAGATTTTGTTGGTACGATTATTGTCTGAGGAATAATCACGGTTTTACGATTATGACGATTATTACGCATTTATTAATTTCCCAAGATTACTAATGTATAAAATCACATGAACACTCTTTAGATATTAAAGTGTTATTTACAGTGGTGGACAGTAACGGAGTAGTTTTATTTCGTTACTGTAATTTTTAAAGTATCTGTACTTTACTGGAGTAGTTTTATTTTGAGTAACTTTTACTTTACTACATTCCAAAGCATAAGATCGTACTTTTTACTTCACTACATTTCATAAAACAAATCGTTACTCCTTATAATACATCATGTGCTCCGACACACAGAAGCGGTGTCTGATTCAAGAACGAACTGATTCTTTTCAATGAACCTTTTAAATCGGTTCGCAAATCGCACCAACCGATTCATTCACGAATTAGAATGAACCGATAGCAGCTGTTCTCGAGTCGACAGCTCACTGATTCAAATGAACCGTTTAGTGCGAGTCTCCAGTGAACTGAATTCACAAGTAAGAACCGGAAGATCGTGTGAGCGCGCGCGCGCGACTGATGCTGCTAAAAAAAATTAAAATAAAAAAAACTTTTTCTTTCTCTTTATTTATTCCTTCCTTTTTCTAGCTTGTACTTATTTGAACAATGCCTAAAACTATGGTATTTCAAGCACTTCCTGTGTCTGTTTGCCTCTTTAAGAAGAATCGCTTAATGTATTGCCCAATTGTAAGTCGCTTTGGATAAAAGCGTTGGCAAAATGACTAAATGTAAATGTAAAAGTAAGTTACTAATGTCGAATTTTAGGATTAATTATTGTAACTGAAAATCATATTTAGGTCAAAACTGTCAGTTGTTTGTGAACTAAATCTGCTGTAAAGGATGATCTATTTAAGCCAACTGAAATGCTTGAATGCAGACACATCTATCAGTGTCTCTATGTTTCAGGTAAAAAAAACAAAAACGAAACATTAAAATAACACAGACTAAATAAAATAACTCATGCACGTTCATATTCCCCACTGCCGTAACGATAACAGTTTTATTAAAATGCTATGCATTTAGCCCTATGTGACATCTGTTTTTATATTGTTTATCAACAGTATACATTTTTATATTGTTTGGATTAACAATATAAAATATTGATTTTAATATTTAATATTTTTAGCTGATGCTAACTGTCTAGCTAGCAAGCTTGCTGGTGCTAAGTTGAGGTAATTTTTAGATATAAAGTCCAAATATTTTTATTCAACCACCTAGGGTGACCGTGATTTCACCAAGTTCAACATGTTCCTGGATCAACATCCTTGTTGATCCTGGAACAACATTCCAAATAACCAATCAGAATTGAGAGATAACTTTTCAGGAAATATCTGTTTTAGGCTTACAATCAGGGTTAGGTGCTTCAACACCCTTGTTAATCAGCTATCATTTCCCTCTGATTTTAGGAATAAATTATGGGTAGGGTTAGGTTTAGGGGTAGGGATTGGGTTTAGTCTATATTTTTGAACAGTAATATTGATCCAGGATCAACAAAAGATGTTGATCCAGGAACATGTCTTACTTGGCTAAATCACGGCGACCAACCACCTAGATAGATTACATCTGGGGGAAAATAAAGGATGTGATGTTCAGAACATGGTAACTACAGTAATTATCAAAGTGGGTAGTGATGCCCTCTGGGGGCATTTGGCCAGGGGTGTTTTTACACCACAGACAAGGTTTGAGAAGAAAAAAAATCATTATGAAAATATAATTATATTTTCCTTAAAATGTTCTTCCTAACTTCAGGCCTTATTCTCAACAACAAGCTTTAAAACACTTTTTTCTTACTGGTGAAAATCAGACGGTCAAATCTGTTTTCTCTCAGGTACTTCGCAGTGTAAGCTTCATCGTGAACATTACTACATCACTCTCGTCAACGTAGTCCATATCAACAACAAAAATATAGCTCGACTCCATTTAGCGGTTATTTTGGGAAAATAACAGGTATTTTGAGCAGTAGGATTATAGAAAATATGTGCTAATATAAAATTTAATTAAGTAGCCTATATAAAATTGCTAAATAAATCTATCTATCAGTACTTTTTTACTTAAGTAGTACATTCTTTACATTTCTTTTGGACCTGGGGTAGAGAATTTGGAAACATGGTGGGAAAAAAAATCTTGTTGGTTTTTACTTATGAATAATACTACAGGGATAGTAAATAACAAAGTTAATGAAGTAGCCTATTATTTATATACGACTAATATTAACTTTATTTGTCCCAGAGGGGAAGTGATAACAATCACTGTTACTAATGACGGAAATAAACTGAAATATTGTAATCAACTGTCATCCATACGTGTTCATTTTAATAATCTTTATAATAATTCATATGATTTTACATGTGGCCTGAGAAAATCATGTCTATTATTTTGGTTTGTGAGATCGGAGATTGCGCTGCACACGTGTACAAACATTCAGGAGGACACAGACTTCTTGAGAATGCTGCCCCGTGACTTTTATTAATAAAATAGATTAAATGGCCTACTGGAGAGACGCAGATAGGCTAATTCACACAGGCAACTGTCACTCTCTCTCTCTCTCTCTCTCTAATAATTAATTCAAGTAGCTAAATGTTATAATTAATTAATTCAAATAAATGTCCGCATTTACTGATCTGAAGCGGGCAGAATGGCAGAATGCTGAGCTAACGAGCTGTAGCTTCGCGTCAGGTGGTTCTTGCCTTCACCTCTTGCATTAAAATCGTTCAATGTACAGCAAGCCGTGCATTATCCCTTATGTATTCGCTCTTTAACAGCAGTTTTTTACAGCAATATTTAAATGACCCCCTGGTCATTCTTGGTGTACCCAAAATGGTCCCACACTATCGACAAACATTTCTCTGGTGAAAATAAAGCTTTGCTGTTTGGTCCCTCTGTCACAGTTAATCTAATGCATGTAGTAGCCTCTGTGCCTCTGATAAGCACGTCATTTTAAGCTGGTGCACCGCTAGTGTAACTTTTTTCGTTTTGCGTAAGCTGCAACAGTTCTGTTCCATGAAACAGAAACACTCAGTTTAGCGTAACCTTTACGATTAATTAACCTTGACGTTTTAAAGCGCGGTTAATCGCAAAATCGCTGCATCCCTACTCAATACTAGTGAAATTTTACAATGATCAAACCCTTAGCAAAAGTTAATATACCACTGAAGATTTTCTTTCTGATACTTAAAGATTAAATATTTATATACACTACCGCTCAAAGGTTTGGGGTTGGTAAAATTTGTTAATGTTTTTTAAATAGGGCACTTATGCTCAACAAATCTGCATTAATTTAATCAAAAATATAGTACAAACAGTACTATTGTGAAATACCGATATGCTGTCAGGAAAGAGATTAAAAATGGAGAAGCTTACTTGGTGTGTCCCCTTGTATGTCCCCTTTGATCATCTCATTCACAAAGTCTCCCAGAGATGAGTAGGAAGAGCTGGAGTCATCGTATGCTTCACTGTCACTGTCACTGAGATAAACAATCACCAATAACAAATAAATACAAAGTTCTATTTAAAATAGACAAAAACAGTTGTAAAAATACACTACAGTTCCAAAGTTTGGGGTTGGTATATTTTTGTAATATTTTTGAAAGAAGTGTCTTATGCTCACTATGGCTGCATTTATTTGATCAAAAATACAGTTAAAAACAGTAATATTGCTTTTAGAATTTAGGATTTCAGTTTAAAATAAAGGTTTTCTATTTTAATATATATAAAATTACTCCAGTGTTCAGTGTCAGATGATCCTTCAGAAATCATTCTAAAATGCTGATTTGGTGCTTATTTCTTCTTATTATAAATGTTGCGCTGTTTAATATTTTTGTGGAAACTATTTCAGGATTCTTTGATGAACAGAAAGTTCAAAATCACATCATTTATTTAAAAATAGAAATCTTTTATAACACTATAAAAATCTTTATCTTCACTATAAAAATTGTAAATCTTTACTATTTTTAATCTTTAAAAATCTTTACACTATAAAAATCTTTATTTTTGATCAACTGAAAATATTTGCTAGCTAAATAAAATGATTCATTTCATTAAAAACAAACAAATAAACTACTCAAAACTATTTTGAAAACTACTGAATCCAGACTTTTGAATATGTAAAAAAAGAATCAATAGCATTTGTGCATGAGTTGATGTGAATGTGTATGAAGGTCTATGTGTGTTAGTGAGTACTGCAAGTATGAGTGTGTATTGGGTGTTTTCAACCTGTCATCTGTTGGGTCTGAATCATTGGTCTCATCCTGCAGGGGTCCACTCAACGCCTCCGCCAGATGAGAGTTTCCATCATACACACGGTAGAATACTGGCTGTAACTGGTGAGCATACCACTTAGGCTTATCGCCTATTAGAGAGGGGTCATACACATCTGAAACACACACACAGTATAATTACTGACAACACACAAAGTGGGAAACACATAATGGACAGTCTTTATAGTACAACTACATGCAGGTAAGTGTAAAGCTGCATTTACACTGCAACAAACAACAGCGATTAGACTGGAAGTCACAACAGAAGAGGGGGCTGAGTTCTCACCCTCTGCAGAGCTGAGATTTGATTTTAGTTTTGCATATTATATACATAATGTACGAAGACTTGAAGAACCTCAGACACTTTGATCTTCTGAGATATGGACAATACAAACACAGTGCATTAACAAACAGACATCCGTTTCCACATCTCACTGAGAGAAGATAAAGGAAAACTCCTTTCTCACCTATCATCCACTTCCTTCCCCTCACCCATCTTTCCCTTCACTCAGCTCACTCAGAATGGTCAATAGCATAATATAATGTTCTACATGAATGCAAGTGATATTCACAGTCGTGTTTGGTATCGTTTGAATTGTCTCAGTGTGACAAGTATCCTTGTTACCGCATTTCTGCATCAGGTTAGCAACAGAAATAGAGTTGAGAAGGAGCATGGGGCACACCAACTGGATATTTAGAGATCTGGCTAACACTTGGTATTCGTTCAAGTTTACTTAACCTGTAAGGGCTAAAAGGGAATTTCTGTTTAGGTCAACTGAATGTTGTTCGACCAACCTAAATGGGGTGAGCCTAACCTTTACTGTAATATTACTCTGGCTAAGTGTACATCATAGGAAACTATGGCATGACCAAAACAAAGCTACTAACAGAGAAAGTAATGTTGGTCGGCTTATATCTTAGTAGTGGTCGTGACCTCTGACTAGAGATAATATGGCTTTATTCAAGTGTGTACAGATCTAAGGGGACTAAACAAAAGTACTTTTAGAACCAGCCATCATAGGAGCGGCCATATTAGTCAATGATCTCTGTCTAATAACCAAGACTGGCAAGTATGTGACCGTGAGGTCCGCTAACGGAATCCAAATGAACAAGTACAATCAAAATAGCATTTAAATAGGATAGACAATTATTCTAGAACATTATTATTCTAATGACCAATGATCAATTGACATCTCAACCTAAATTCGAGTCAGATTAGAATTCAATAGAAGTTAAATTACTTTGCACACCGAAAAGACCGAACATGCAGGAAACCTGAATGGGCGGATATGAATAAAGTCAGAAATGATTGTTTACATTGTGCAATATTTTAGCATTGTGCAAACCCTAATATGTTCCTTCTAAAAGTGCTGGCAATCATTTAGATGGACAACTATGCATACATTATTCATTTATTCCACCATGGTCAATAAACAGAGGGTAAATTCTCTTACTGTTAGTGTCTTCACAAATTGAAATCTAATTGAGAAGTCATCACAACTGCCACTAGGGGGCGAACTGTGACAATCAAATCTGGAGGTCAAAGAAAAGACAACTTAAGGACAAAGGATGAGGTATATCTATGTCTCTCACTGTTATGAATCCTTTGGAAAGCCAGGTTGGTGGGGTTGAGAGCCCACTCTCCATAGTACTCCACCGCCTGGGTATGGGAGAGATTTTCGGTAAATCCATTCCGCCGCGGCCTAGAAGCCAGGAAAGATGTGGCCTGGAATGCCACCACAGGGCGGGGGAAGAGACGCAGAGTGCGTGTGTGCATCTGGAACCCTTGCAGGACATTTGGAGAGTTGAAGAACCTCACCATCGCCACCCTAATGGCAAGATCAAAATAATAATGCATTTCTATCATGTAAATTATACGGCGGAATGGTACAAACATTAGTATCTTTTTTTTTTGGCTTGGTTCAAATTTTGTGTTTTCTGCACCACTAACAAAAACAACAGGTCTCATTCACTAATAATTGTGTAGATTATTCATATTTATACACACAGGAAAACCTCTCATGAAAAATTACCGCCGGATTCACAACACGTGCATCCGCACATGAATTTGTTCTTAACCTTGTTCTAATGTTAATGAATTAAGTATTCCAAATGAGTGACAGAACACCCAAGGACAGTAATTTGCATAAAACATGGCCAAACAATTTAAGGAGTTGCTTTAATCGTAAAAAAAAATAAATAAATAAAAAAAGAATTAGTATGAAAGTTATAGATGAAAGCGTTTTTTTGTTCGTGAAAGCGTTTGTGATATGCAGATATCACAGACAAATTTGTATGTATACATGGTTAGTGAATGAGACCCATTGATTGTTTAGAAATGTATGGAAGCCTACAAAAAAATGTTATGGCTGTTCTGGGCTTCCATAAGAATCATTATTTTTAGCTTCATTTAGGTACCTCAAAAAAGGCACCAAAATCACACACTATTAACATAGCAACTCTACCAACCACTCATTCCCGTCACATTTGATACAGTTTACAATACTTCATACCTTGTGGCAACATCAACTGAGTCCACATCATTGCCATAGATGAGTGGGTTGAACTCCGTGGAGGACGGGGAGGCTTTGTCACGACCGGGGGGCAATAAAGACAACTCCTGTCCATCCTGAAACTTCTCCAGGTTTAGAATAGGCTGCGTGTTCAGACTCATGCTGGCCAGAGCCTGCATAGAGTAATCAATGACACAGAGCGCGAGAGAGAGAGAGAGAGAGAGAGAGAGAGAGAGAGAGAAAGGTGGAGGAGGAAAATGGATACAGGAGAGATCAATTTAACAATGAATCCTGACAGGGGAGACTGATGTTAAGAGCACTATCGCCTCAGGCAATCACGTCTCACATTGGAGGCCTACGGTTACCAACTTCTGTCTAAAGATCTACTGAATGGCAAAGGTGAAAGCATAGTCACTCTTTTTATTTAAATAAGATGCATAATTAAAGGAAGAGTTCACCCAAATTAAAAATCCACCATCATACACACCTTGATTTCTTTCAAAACCAAGTATGTTTAATATCAACTTTATTTTAGACTTTTTATTCATATATAAATACTGATCAATGCTCATACATAGAACACATTAAACATGGTAAACAGAAACTCAAACGTGTACAAAAATCTCAATAGTTCACGGCACGCACATCTGAGCTTCGGTTTACCATATCTGATGAGCTCTATATAAGTGTGTCGGCTTTGATGTTTATATATGAATAATTGCCTAAATTGAATCTTCATAATATAAAGCCATTGGGTCTCTTTAGAAGATTAATATGGATTACTTTTACAATGTCTTTATGAATTATTTGAAGCGTCAACGTTTTGGTGAAATGAACTTTCAACGGAAGAACAGATTTCATAAAAAATATAATTTGTGTTTCAAAAATGAACAAAAGTCTTATGGGTTTGGAACAATATGAGAGTGAGTAATTGATGACAATTAAAATTTTGGGGTGAACTATCCCTTTAAAATTTAGAAAACGTTACATGGGGATAAGAGAGAAAGCTATTGCCTGAACCGACGGTGTTGCATCAAAGATTTTATAGTCAAAATGTTAGAGGGAAGGGTGCGGTCATCACATAGAGCCATTAACAAAGCACTCTGGGAATTCTGCCACTGCTCACTCAATGCCTCTCAGCCGGCATTCCATCAGACCCTGCACTCACCACGCCATTTGGCCGGTACGCTATCAAACCAATCGCATCAATCTGCTCCAGCCGATTACAAAGATTTTTTGCTTTGGGTTAATGAGCATAATGTAAGTTGCATTGAAACATGCTCAAGCCAAACATAGTGCTATGAGAAACAGGGGCCTTCTGTAGGTCCTTCATCACACAAAGAGAAGGGGAGGAAGAGTGCAAAGAGTTAGGGGCTATGGAGGCAAACAGAGGGGCAAGTGTGTGCATTTTTTAGATTGTTTTTTCAAATGGTATGGAATAAAGAAATATCTGTATGGTTTCAATATTTGTTAAGGTCACAGAGAGTGTTGGGCTATGGGTGTTGATGGCGGGGGGATAGAGGTTATTTTTCCGTGCACATTCAAAATGCAAAGATTTGTGAACCTTGGAATCAGAGGCGAAGATCTGCTTTTGGGTGATCACAGTCAACCTTACCAGACACTGAAGGACACAAGAACACATGGAGGAAATGTCACATGACTACCTGTCACTGAGAAAGATTGGGAAATCATGTGACCAAACATGAGTGGAGGAAGGGTGCACACACAACAAAACACACCAGTCCGAAGAAAACTGGTGGGTTATCAGGTGGAAAGGGAAGCAGATCTCACACAAACTTGTCATTGGAGAATGTGTTCAAAACTCAAAACTTGCCCGCGAATATTAATTGGTAGTTGTTAGCCAACACAATGCCATTGTTAGCCTATTTGACCTTTACTTCATTAATGTGATGCTTTTCAGAGTGAAACAGGACTTTTAACAAACAAAAAGTGAAACAGGCTATTCTTTTTGGTGGCATTACCCAAAAAGAAAAGACATTTTAGTGATATTTTGTGGAAATACAATTTTTTTCATGTACAAAAAGACCAGAGGACCTGAATTATGGTGATTCATAATGGCAAATGAAGAGTCATGACTCACAGTCTGTGAGACACAACTGATGATTCAGTGTATTGACTATTTTGGCTTGAGTTATTACAATGACAGCATGATAATTATGTTTGATGCAAGATGAAACAAAATGGTAAATCAATTTGGCTGAGAAATTCTGCTGCAGACCAGCAAAAACAAAAACAACAGATTGTGATCAAATTAAATGCATCTCTATTAAAAAGACATGAGGAAGGCCGAAGTTGGTCAGTATATGACAATGATTAAATGACAACACAGTGAAATGTTTAAACAGTTGATATTAATGGGGTTTGATTGAGCTCAGAGGTGCCCAGATTCAGGTAAGAAGCTCTAGATAAGGGTCTATGTGGGATTGTAAAGGGTTAAGCGAGAGAACTAGAAACATTATTGAGTCTATAGACAGGGAAACTCAAAACTTATTACCTCCAAGAGCTGGAACAAAAAAAGGGGGAGAATATGCAGTCATTACAATACATAAAGGATCATCTAAAATATGAATCAGTCAACATAAACTTTAGAAACATCAGAAAAGGTCTAATTTTCTGTCTGCCTTTGGCTTCAAATGACAGGGTTTAAAAATATATTTGCCATTGTCAGCCTTCTCTTTAGTTTAAATGCAAGAATTGGCCAAGTTCACAGCAGCTGTTAGAAGACAGTATAATTACTATGCATTGCTTCTAGAATCCAGTTAGTATTCACTTCAGATTCAGAGCTAACGGTAGGGCTCCTTAGAGAGAAGAGAACATCTGGTTCGCTTACCTGCTTCAAGTGTTTCTTCAGCTCAGAGGCCTCAGGTTCAGGAAGGGGAGGGAGCAATTCTGCGTTGCTTGGAACAATGACCTACATTGATGAAGATACAGAAGCAACATAAGACCACTATAGTATACACAATTCATTGTTAAAGGCTTTGCAACATGGTAGAATCCACAAACCCATGTCTGGGTAGTTACAGATAGCTTAAACAGATGATATACCTTGTTGCAGTCCAGATCCACTAACCAAACGTCATCAGGAACCTTAAAATCAGACTTGTACAGGAAGAAACTGGCAGGCACACCAATGACATATGGAGTGGGTGCTAGCAGGAGCTAGAAAAAGAAGATATGCGTGTGACACAAAGAGAGCTTTAATGTTTATACACCAACTGTTCAAAAAAAGATGCCGTGTTACCTGTTCTGCGGAGGCCATGCAGGTGGGCAACAGTGGAATGACAGGAAACATGTACTCGAGGGGGTAAATCATTGCAACAAACGCCATGACGCTCATTGAGAGGGCGTTATAATCTCGGGACTGCAGTACCACCTACAGACAGCAAAGGGTGAGAGTAAGTCTCCTCGTTATTATCAGTGTGACCCGCATTGGCAAAATGATGAAGACTCATTTGAAACAGCAGATCTAAAGACAACTATTAACCTCATCTATGACACAGACATAGTGTAGCCTATATTTTAAAAATCGCCTAATATTATCGCTTCCTCTAAAGCGTCAGCCTGTCCAACACTCTCTGTAAATACAGCGTCAAATATTTTAAATTATTAACACCGTTACCTCTCATGATGCATGACTGTCAAATTAAACACTCAGCTTAATATCAATGAGCGGAGTGTCAAAAAATAACCAGCTCTAAAGTAAATTCTGAATTACAATACTGCTATAGCAATTTAAAATAGTGATGCATTTGATAAAATCCATATATATACTGTATAATCCTGTATAAAAATCCAGGTCAATAATTATACACACTTTTTATGAATAAAAAAAAAAATAGCTATAGAAGTGAATTTAAATATACCAGTATTAAAGGGGTCATATGATGCTTTTTTAAAGATCATTATTTTGTGTATTTGGTGTAACAAAATATGTTGACATGCTTTAATGTTCAAAAAACACATTCTTTTTCAAATACTGTACATTATTGTAGGTCCTCTATGCCTCGCCTCTCTCAAACACTTCGTTTTCTACAAAGTCCCTCCTTCCGACAACCGCAGTCTGCTCTGATTGGCCAGCTGACCCAGTGCATTGTGATTGGCTGAACACCGCAAGCACTCGTCGGAAATGTAACACCCCTTACCATAATCGCGAGCTTCATTTTTCAAAATAAATGTCCGAAAGGGGAACAGAGTCTCGTGACAGACACAGCGATGAATATGTGTTTGCAGTACACAAGCCACGGTTAAGACAGCTGACTCCACTGTGATATCTCTCCTAGGTTCACAAAACGGACGTCCATAAAATGCATTGCTGTTCTGTTGTAAGTAATCTTAAAGATTTCTAAATGCATCTACTTTCGGAAAGCCAAATAAAGTGTTTTTGCTTTCGCTCTGAAACACACAGCGTCTCCCTGACATGGCTGCTTCAACACTAACTGCGGTTACTGAAACCACGCCTTCTTTCTTTGCGTGCACATTTGGGCACATTTTGCGCAAATATTTCCACATAGTGAGGTAGATATGTGGGGGCGTGTTAGAACGAGCCGTTTTAGGGGGGCGTGGTAGAGTCTTAACTTTGATAAAGAATAGCTCTTTGGTTTTGACACTTTAGTCTTTGCAACTTCAGGGATCTTATCTATGCACAATCAGCTTGTAACACTCCAAAGAGAAAGGAAAACTTGAAATCGCATCATATGACCCCTTTCATGCTATGATAACCGGACATGATATGATGCATTATATTATTTAGAAAATAAATAAAATATTATTACTAATGATATGTAATACTATTTTGTCTAAATAAATAAAAAAAAACACAAAATTTAATAATTTAACATGCATTTTAAGTGAATTTAGGCATCACAGCATTATCACGAAACACAAACAATACGAACATTCATTTTCATTGAGGCTTGCTAAAGACTACATTTAACTTTTTTTTTTTATTATTAAACAGCATTGACCAATACCAATTAATTAAATTGGCCAATAACAGGTATGGTACTGCTATACGGTGCATCCTTATACACTGAGAAAACAAGCATGGCCACACCATAGATGCACTAACAAAAAAGTACCATGGCATTTCTGCACATTTAGCATGGTGGTACCATGTTCTTTGACGTATCACCATGAAAACAGTACACAAATATGGTAATCTAAGGGTCTATGCCATCCATACCTTGTGCTCCAGCAGAATGCAGGCCAGGACCTGCAGACAAGCATCAACTCCCAGCAGCTCCAGCGGCAGATGGAGCGGGAAGTCTACAATGCTGAAGCGGGAAGGGTCTGGAAGGGCAAAGGTCAGTGCTGGCTGCAGCTCATGGGGGAGCACTTCCACGTCAACACGTCGCTGACCAGCAACAGGCACCGGGGAGTGCAGCAGCCTATACACCCATGACTCAATCTCCCTCAGGTCCTGAAGCACCTGACTGCCCTTTTCCTTTTCCTCGATGGAGAGAGAGCCTGTAAACACACGCCACATTGTGTCCCTGGGGGAGAGAAATTCACATGTGTAAAGTTTTCGATTAGGATCAGGGTTCGGGTTCAAAGGTACAACCAAGAACAAGTACGACAAGCTCTCTTTCCATTTGTTCATTAACTAGTTTTTGAACTTTCCAGTACATTCAGGTATTGTCCTAATTCAGTGATTCTGAATAAGTGTATTCTAGTGTCTGCCTGGTAAACAGAAATAGCACAAAAACACTGGCAGCTGGCATCTACTGTTCAGGATTAAACTACTAATCACCAAGTAAAGTGGTACTGGCACACAGTTCAAAAGCTCTACAAGCGCCTGACTATACCATAACATACACACAATGGTCACTTTACAGTTTACATTACCATATATTTTCATTCTTAATGCAAATATCTAATTGGCCATTCACACAGGAGCAAATAGATGCATTATTACATGCAAATGTTCAATAGGTTGAATTGTGCAAACCAAACATCAGAATGAGGAAGAAAGAAGGGCTGAAATCACAATATGTCTCAGTAAGATTATCAAATCACAAAGGCTATGCTTTAATTAAACAAATATGAGCTGTGTGTTTCAGAGTGAAGCGTGGCACTGTGTTCATTCAGTGATTAAAGTAACCACACATTGAAGCGGATGGGTTTTAGTATCAGAAGACCACATTGGTCAACTTCTGTCAGCAAATGACATGTAACTGGAGCTACAGCGCACATGGATTCAACAAAACTGGACAGTATAAGATTGGTAGGTAGGGATGTAACGATTAACCACGAGCCGGTTGAAAATCGATTCAAATATGTGACTATTCAAATCGTTTGAGATGCCAAACAAATCGCGATTCAGTTAGGGGTAGGAGTTTATATGGATGTATGTCTGAGGGGAACTTACTGTCTTTCGATGGTATTTTTTCTTTTCCTCTTGCCTCTGTATAATGCATATCAGGGCTCCAGACTCATTCTTCCCACTTGTCGCTCTTTTGCAACTAACTTTCTAAGCTGGTCGCACAAGCACATGATTTGGTCGCAATATATACAGTGGTGTGAAAAAGTGTTGGCCCCCTTCCTGTTTTTAAAATTTTTTGCATATGTCACACTTAAAAGATTCAGATCATCAAACAAATTTTAATATTATTACACAAAGATAATGCAAGTAAATACAAAATGCAGTTTTTAAATGATTATTTATTTTATTAAGGGAAAAAAGCTGTCCAAACCTGCCTGGCCCTACGTGAAAAAGTAATTGCCCCCTAAATCTAATAACTGGTTGTGCCACGCTTTGCAGCAACAACTGCAATCAAGTGTTTGCGATAACTGGCAATGAGTCTTTCACATCGCTGTGGAGGAATTTTGGCCCACTCTTCTTTGCAGAATTGTTTTAATTCAGCCACATTGGAGGGTTTTCGAGCATGAATGGACTGTTTAAGCATCTCAATCGGATTTAAGTCCGGACTTTGATTTGGCCACTCCAAAACCTTAATTTAGTTTTTCTTGAGCCATTCAGAGGTGGACTTGCTGGTGTGTTTGGGATCATTGTCCAGCTGCATAACCCAAGTGCGCTTGAGCTTGAGGTCACAAACTGATGGCCGGACATTCTCCATCAGGATTTTCTGATAGAGTGCAGAATTCATGTTTTCCTCTTGCCTCTGTATAATGCATATCAGGGCTCCAGACTCATTCTTCCCACTTGTCGCTCTTTTGCAACTAACTTTCTAAGCTGGTCGCACGAGCACATGATTTGGTCGCAATATATACAGTGGTGTGAAAAAGTGTTGGCCCCCTTCCTGTTTTTAAAATTTTTTGCATATGTCACACTTAAAAGATTCAGATCATCAAACAAATTTTAATATTATTACACAAAGATAATGCAAGTAAATACAAAATGCAGTTTTTAAATGATTATTTATTTTATTAAGAGAAAAAAGCTGTCCAAACCTGCCTGGCCCTACGTGAAAAAGTAATTGCCCCCTAAATCTAATAACTGGTTGTGCCACGCTTTGCAGCAACAACTGCAATCAAGTGTTTGCGATAACTGGCAATTTATCATCAGTATATTCAAATAATCTAACGGTAATAGAAATTAAATGCTAAAAAACATAAAATATTTAATGTTTCAGTTTACATTTTGAATATTGTGTTGGAAAACGTTGGGCCTTCAAGTCAAAAGGGTTGATAACCACTGCATTAGAGTAACTTGCAATTATCAATGAAGACTAGAAATAATGATTTTCATTTTGCTCATAATTATGGTTTTAGTTTGTCATGGCTTTTCGGGTCAATCATTCAGGCCTACATAATAGTTCATGTCAGTTCACTAGAGCTCAAAAACACAAGCACAGTGCATTCTTCTAAAGATCCAAACAGGCCAGACTATGGTAGTGTGGGTGTGTAGAGGTACTGCAGTAAGTCATAATTGGTTCATCAGAGAACTCCCACTTCTCACAGCTGCTCTCGGAGAACAGTCAGTGGCCTCAATCTGTCATACAGCCTGTCTCCACCAGCTCCATGCACTCGCTCCAACTCCTAACGTGTTTGGTTCTCTTGCACTCTACCTGTCTTTTCCCCCTCTACTGTCAATTTGTGCTGTCAAAACCACAGAGACATCTTTATTAATTGTTCATCAGTATATTCAAATAATCTAACGGTAATAGAAATTAAATGCTAAATAACATAAAATATTTAATGTTTCAGTTTACATTTTGAATATTGTGTTGGAAAACGTTGGGCCTTCAAGTCAAAAGGGTTGATAACCACTGCATTAGAGTAACTTGCAATTATCAATGAAGACTAGAAATAATGATTTTCATTTTGCTTATAATTATGGTTTTAGTTTGTCATGGCTTTTCGGGTCAATCATTCAGGCCTACATAATAGTTCATGTCAGTTCACTAGAGCTCAAAAACACAAGCACAGTGCATTCTTCTAAAGATCCAAACAGGCCAGACTATGGTAGTGTGGGTGTGTAGAGGTACTGCAGTAAGTCATAATTGGTTCATCAGAGAACTCCCACTTCTCACAGCTGCTCTCGGAGAACAGTCAGTGGCCTCAATCTGTCATACAGCCTGTCTCCACCAGCTCCATGCACTCGCTCCAACTCCTAACGTGTTTGGTTCTCTTGCACTCTACCTGTCTTTTCCCCCTCTACTGTCAATTTGTGCTGTCAAAACCACAGAGACATCTTTATTAATTGTATTGCTGCTGCATAGTTAAATTGTTGCATATTAATACAGGCCTGTTTAGGGACACAAATGCTAATGAATGCCAACCACAGTTCTGCACTGAAAAACAATGACGCTAATGCTAGTATCATAATATGCTAAATGGTTTCATTATTGTATTCAGGGTTCCTGTATCTGAAGTTCCATACTTTCACGACTTTTCTGTCATTCAAATTACTGGACAAGGATTTGTTTGTTAAAAAATTATTTTATACAGATTCCACTCAAAAAGAGACAAAATCTAGCCCAAAAGTTTTTAGAGCCGAGCATAAAAAGGAACATACACTAACACTACTGTTCAAAAGTTTGGCGTTGGTAAGATTTTGGAAAGAATTCTCTTATGTTCACCAAGACAGCAGTAATTTAATGAAAATCTAAATTATTTAATTGATACAGTAACATTGTCAAATATTATTTCAAATTAAAATAACTATTTTCATTGTTACCGATAGCCTCGTGGGCAGCGTGTCGACATGTAGCGCCATTGCGCTTCGGGCGTCCCGTGTTCGAGTCCCGGCTCGCGGACCTTTCCCGATCCCATCCCCCCTCTCTCTCCCACTTCGCTTCTTGTCTCACTACTATCCTATCAATAAAAGGCAAAAATGCCAAAAATAAATCTTAAAAAAAATAATTAAGTATTTTCTATTTTAATATATTTTCAAATGTAATTTATTCTTATGATAGCAAACTGAATTTTTCTATTCTAGAATGATCCTTCAGAAATCAAGAAACACATTATTATCAGTGTTAAAAACCGTTGTACTGCCGCATGATAAAAAAAAAGAAAAATCTGGATTCTTTTTCATAAATAGAAAAATAAAAAGTACAGCATTTATTTAAAATAGAAATGTTTTGTATTACAAATATATTTACGGTCTCTTTTCATTAATTTAATCAGTCCTTGAATAGTCTTACTGACCCCATCATTTTGAACAGTACTGTATATTCCTCATCAAGATTCAAACATTTCTAGGCCTGGAAACACCCCCATACTTTCCTACTTCCTGGTTTCTCATGATCGCAAGTGTTCTGCGTTTCATTAAATGAGGACAACAAGAGTGAAACCGAGTTGTTTTAGTGGTTTAAGTGTGCTGATAAAGTGAAAACTGATTTCTGGTTTGTTCATTAGGCCATTGGTCTGGCATATGGTTATTCTCACACGGAATAGCCCAGTTGAGAACAGTATGACGCATGGCGATTTGTCATTACAAGGTTGAGTCGTGCATACTAAAAGGCTACAAACGTGGGTAAAGCCAAGGTCCCTGCAGTACTGAGAGAACATGATGACGGAGTCAGAAATGGCCTTTAAAGACACTCTCACACAGTAAACTCTAATATTGTCTGAGTCATTTCTATTTGAAATTTTCACTGTAATGTGACATAAGGTCATATGTTTAAGACTGCCAAGTAGGTAGGCGCATTGATTAAAACAGTAAGTTACGGTTACTTGGGCACGGAGCAAAAATAAACTACGCTTTCACCAAGTAGCGTAGTCCATCAGCCAAATTGGAGGCTGTTTACGGCTGGCAAGCCAATATGCATTAATATTTACAAGAGCTAAAAGCTAACTTTGATTCATTGTATAAACAAACAAATGCATGCTTTATGTAGACTTCATGACCAGTGTTGGGCAGTAACACGTTACTGTAATTTGATAACTTTTTTAGTAACGGAGTAATTTAACGCGTTATAATTTTCAAAATAGTAAAAATATATTTTTATGGTAATTATAGAGTGTGGTTACAAACCGAGGTCTCTATGCGTTACTGCCGCGTTACATTGCTGACAGAATGCAGTGTTTTATAATCTAGATATTGTAAAAAGGATGTAGCTCACGCACTGTCGAGTCAAGTCCCAGTGGATTAGAGACCTGCTCCTGCGAGACCCGATGCAACAGAGTGCGGCGCGGGACAAGACTTGATGCAAATGCAGAGGCTCGTGTGTGTGTGTGTGTGGGATGCGGGAGAATAAAATGATTCACAGGACTCCCGCAAAATAGAAATATCTAAACATAAAATATCTAAAACAAATAAATTGTTATTCATCTATTGCACAAAAGCAACATGAACTAATATAAAATATAAACGATTAACAGGTGCAAGCGTATGCAGACTTTCTATTTAGGCTATAACACGTGTTTGCAGCATTGAGCAATGCAGGGCTGAAATTTGCGTGCTCACGAATCCTCTCATTATAACACACGAATTGTAGACATTATGAAAGATTCATTATGCATATATTTATTGTGTTATAACAGAGATTTGTGAGATTGCGATGAACTGAGATGTCTTTTAGAGATTATAAATGCAGCGCTCTTTGCTGGCATTCTGCCATGCTAAACCATGCACGCAGCAGCCGCTTGCTTAAGTTAAAAATAACAGTGTTCTGTGAATGTTGATGCTTTAATAACATATTTATCGGGAAAGCGTGTATGCTGGGATTTCATAAATTTCATGGAGAAAAAAGTAACGTAACTAGTAATGTAACTAATTACTTTTGAAATAAAGTAATCAGAACAGTAACATGATTACTTTTAAAAGGAGTAATCAGTAATTTGATTACATTTTCACTTGTAAGAGTAACTTGCCCAACACTGTTCATGACCAAGGTGAGTCTAAACACAGGAGCAATCAGATTCTGTGTCAGTACTTTAAAGGAATAGATCAGCCAAAAAAAATAAAAAATTGCTGAAAATTTGGTCACCCTCAGTCCATCCAAGAAGCAGATGAGTTTGTTTCTTCATCAGAACAGATTTGGAGAAATTCAGCACATTATATCACTTGCTCTAGTTCATAATTCATAAAATAGCTTTCTCCAGTAAAAAAAAAAAAAAAACCTTCTGGTCTGAATCAAGAGAGAAATACACAAAGATCAAGAACCGTTTACAAACAAAAACATGCACAAAACTGTTATTATGGATTATGGACTGTATTTTAGCTGGAGGCAAAGGTTCAAAGTTTAAAATGTCTTAAATTATGGATTTATTACAAGCATGTAGCTTTTTGCTTCTTAAAACATTTTGCTTTTCAACATTAACTATTACTTTAAGTATTAATAGAACAACAGTTAAAAGATCACATCATGGATCTCACTGTCAACATCCATCAAAGAAATTAAAGTCCATTTTTATTCATAGTATCACCTCCTCATCCTTACAAAAAGCCCTACACAGGCCTTAACGTTCAACTAGCTGATTATGGACTAACACCAATTATAGCTAACTGTGGATTAACACCTAGCAATGTGGATTTCAGTTTCAAATGGACATGATCAAATTTAAACTTAATGAGAAAGAAAATGAAAATAAAAGGATTAAACATTGCATCAACATGGAACATACAGTATGAACTACTTCAGATCTGAATACTTAACACAGGCTGCCATACTGGTTAAATTATTCTCCACACTTGCGAGCAAATAAAATGGGCTTGGCAGGGCATTTCAACTGCAAACAAATTGAGGCCTGTAAATGCGACCGTGGCTCATGGTGGATGTGGTTGCTAGGTTACACGAGAATAGACTCTGCTGAGAAAATCACAGAGATAAAAAAACTTCTACTCAATGATTATTGATCTGCAGCAGAGTGCTATTGTGCAGACTGTTTACCAATATACACTCAAGGATGTAGTTACCGTTACCACTGAGATATGTGAATAAGATCTAGTTAAAACCTGTCCTGTGTGGAGAACCACACTTCAAGACCACATGCACATGCAAGAGGAAAACCAGTCCTTCACACATCCTTCATCCCAGCTGCAACTTCTTCACACTACATCCTTTTCGCTCGTCCCTTTCTCGAAGTCACAAGCACCGTCACACATCCTTCCACTTGTGACTTTCTTTTATAAAATCATCAGCACCTTGTCATTCTAAATCACAGCCACGACACTACAGGATCTAACAATGTCGAGCCCTTCTGGCATTCCTGGCATAACATTTTTAGAGGCAATACACCCCCCAAAATCAGAACTCGCTCACTGTCTACTCATATTCATGTTGCTAGATTATGATACATGTGAAGAGCTATTTGTTTGTTGAAGTGCAATATCAACACAAGGGAGAGAAGAAACTGCAAAAATTTTAATTGGTTCTCACATATATCAAGACGTGCCAGGTTTGAAAGTGCGTAAAATGAGTGAGATTAGAGAGAATTTTTTCTCAGTGAATGACTGATTTATTGTAATGTAAATACTGAATGATGGTATCTTGTGGGAAATAAGTGCATGATGGGTGATGAGATGAATAAACGTAATTCCACATGGACAGCAAATATGACCGTGCATCAATCTCACTGATAACTAGAGAAATAAACAGACTGAAGTCTAAATGTAAATGCAAATAGTGTACATTTGCATTGAGTATACAGTACGTTGATCAATATTACACTGCTTATCAGTGACTAAACAGTGTCAGTCTATATTATTATATTAAATATATTTATTTAAACAATATTTAAACATTCTTTGGAGCCTAGTTCATTTTGTTATCCTATATGTTGTAAAGTCAACTAAGGGAAGTGGAAATCTTTTTAATTATTAATAAAGGAATAATATTGATAGTTATTTCAAACAAATGGTTTTGGATTTTGATGCAGCGGGTGCATAATTTTGGGTTTCTGTCAAGAAGTCTCATTTCATTGCATTACTATGAGTTAATTCACACAAAAAAATTTGAATTAAAGGAATAAACAAAAACGAAAATAGTAACAGGATTTGTAAACTGAGAGGGAGAATGTTGCCAGTTGTGACGGTGTAATGCAGAGATAGCATCTTCTGGCAGCACCACCGTATTTGACACTTACACATCTACTGTATGAGATTGCAAAACACTGCAGTCACTTGGCATTGCTTCTGTGCACAAATATTATCTTGCTGAATCTCAGGGTAATGTTACATAACTGCATACTTCACAGAAAAGAATAAAGGCTGTTCTCACCGTTGTGTGGACTTAGCAGCACCAGGTCTTTGGTTGAGCCGCTGGCTACAGCAGTCCACCATGCGCTTGAGGATGTACAGACACTCCCTGAACGTAGTGAAGAAGGGGTAGTGGCTCAGAATGCACAGAGACGTTAATGTGCTGTTCCGGTTCTGTGGTGCTAGTCGACCACTGTGTTTGGATCGTGGAGATTTTCCGGTGCTGCCCGGCTCGCCTGGTGGCAATGTCTCATCTCCTGCAGGGGGCAGCGTAGATTCCCCTGGAAGAGTCAATGTGGAGGAGTCAAATTTCTCTGTGGCCTCTACTGCAGAGTCTGTATGAGTGGGCTTTTCTGCTGTATAAAGAAAAATATTAAGGAGAAATTATGTAGTGACTGCACCATTACAGCTATAAGAAGGGCCCTATGAAATCCATTCAATTTTTTCCCAAATTCTCAGCTTTTACCGATTAACTTTTTCTGGATTCTATTTTAACCCTTTAATAAAATGTTTATAATCAAAACGGATGTCTAATCAAATTAATAAATCTTATTAATAATCTATTAGTGCTCTATGAAATATAATTTTTTGTTTATTTTATTTTTCCAGAAATTCTGTTATGTTTACATTTTTTTGGGATTCTGTGTTTTATAATTTAATACAAATTTATTATCAAAAACTGTGGTAGTAATTCAATTGTTACGATTGTATGCATTTAATTGATTATTTTAAAATACAATTAACTGATTACATTAATGTTCTCAGAGCAGCTCTGGAGATGAAGTTCATATGAAATGTCCTCATATAGTGAGACATAGATTCCATTTTATGATTGGATTCTGTCTGCATTTTAAAAATCACATCACTATACATATGTGATGCTCAAGATGGGTTACAAATGGTTAGTTGTCAACACCAAGCCACTAATCAGTTGAATTAGGATTACAAAATGGTTCTGCCTCATAAAACCGCTACAAAATGAGCTCTGACCTTTTCCTTCAGTTCGTGGGCGGTGGTGGCCCTTCTGGAAAGAGCGGTAAAAGTTGAGGCAGATTCCATAGCGAGTGACACCTGAATCTTTGTCGGTGAGAGCGAAGACGAAAGATGTGTCGTCACGAAGGCTGACCCGGCGCTGACGGATGCTCAGGCAGCCCTCAGGCTGGCAGAAGAACACAACGTCAGGGGGCAGAGGGAACTCATTGTGGTCCTCCAGTGGATAGCGCCTCAGCAGCTGAGGTGTTTGTGCCACGCTGTCGCTGCTGGGTTGCCTGATTAAGGGAAAAAGACTGAAGTGAGAGACAGGAAGACAGATCTCTAGCTTTTCTCAGCCCCAGTGCTTGTTCTTTTATGCACTTTGTGTCAAGTAATGTGCAATGGCTATATATACATACTGCTTTTCAAAAGTTGGTTAGATTTTTTTTAAGAAATGAATAATTTTATTAAAGATGCAATAAATTTATCAAAAGTAACAGTAAAGACTTTTTATTATTTCAAATAAATGCTGTTCTTTTGAACTTTCTATTCATCAGAGAATCCTGAAAAAAAGCATCATGGCTTCCACAAAAATATTAAGCAGCACAATTGTTTTCAACATTGATAATCAGAATCATGTGACACTGAAGACTGGAGTAATGGCTGCAGAAAATTCAGCTTTGCCATTAAATAATTTTACAACATCTTTGTAGTCTCACTTCTGAAATATTAAAATTTTTACTTTTTAAATTATATTGTTTTAATTATAAATGGTCTATAAATCCATAACAATCTCGCAAACCCCTTGCAGCTCCCATTCAAACACCTGTTTATAAAACCCAGGATTATGGGAGTAGGGATTTGGAAGGAGTTAATTAAAGGGGTCATATGATGCTGCTAAAAAGAACATTATTTTGTATATTTGGTGTAATGAAATGTATTTATGCGGTTTAAGGTTAAAAAAACACATTATTTTCCACATACTGTACATTATTGTTTCTCCTCTATGCCCCGCCTTTCTGAAACGCGTCGATTTTTACAAAGCTCATTGTTCTGAAAAGCGAGGTGTGCTCTGATTGGCCAGCTATCCAGTGCGTTGTGATTGACGGAAATGTTACATCCCTTACCATATTGTGATGCCTGCGGCAACCACATGTGACGACCCCGGGCTGGACTCCGCTTCGTCCACGGTGAAAGCCGATCCGGCGATCGACAGCGCGAAGTTGAAGTATTTCCTCAACGACCAGCACGGATCAGCTCTAGGCATGACGAAGCGATATCGTCCTCTTTTGGAAGGCCAAACAAAGTAGTTTCGCTTTCACAATGAAGCACACAGCGCCTTCACGACATGGCGGCGGCGGCGGCAACAATACTACAGCGAGAATAGTTACGCCTTCTTTCTTTGCGTGAACATTTGGGTGGCGTTATGCAAATCTTCCCAGATAGTGACGTAGGTATGTGGGGGAGTGTTAGAACGAGCCGTTTTAGGTAGGTGTGGCTGACTCTTTACTTTTATAAAGAATATCTCTTTGGATTTGAGACTTTAGTCTTTGCAACTTCAGGGATCTTATCTATGCACCAAGAGCTTGTAACACTTCAAAGAGAAAGGAAAAATTTAAATCGCATCATATGACCCCTTTAAGGCTGGAAGTTTGAGAAGGGCTCCTCCACAAACATATTTCCCAGGTTCCACCTTTTCTTATCCAGTATATTGTGATCTGCTGTCAAAACCACACCAAACTTCATCATGATAACATACAATCACATTTAACATTAACTGACAGTGTACACCTGAGGCCGGGCACCTGGAATACACCTGCACAGGTCACATACAAACAAAACACACAATCAGTTCACCTGTGATTCAATTCCCCTGTCAACAATTTACTTAAGCACCTATAGAACCTATGTCTGAGCTGTATACACACAAACACGCCCACATTCCATTCAACAATCTCCCTTACCTGGCTCCAACTACCACTAGGTAGTCCAGGAGGCGGGGGCACACTTTCTTTTTCTCCATCTCTGTGTCAGGAGTGTCTCTAAGTCATGGCAACAGTAGCGACGATCAGCTCTCAGGCAGGCAGTCCAATCAGGTGCAGCAGAACTAGGAGTTGGCTGATCGAGGCAGGCAGCGTCCAATCATTGCGGTCTGTGGTGTGCAGGAACGGGGTCTGTGGAAGAGTAACAGAAAACATTATAGAAGTAATCCATCACACAGCAACTGCTCTGCAGTGAAACAAAGATGTCTGCATTTGCATTACTGCAAAGCTTGAAGGTGTTGCAAGTGATTTTTAGATAAAATGCCATTCAAAATATATCCCCGTTTCCTGACAGTATCACTGAAATAGTTGTCCTAAAATATCATAGACAGCCCTAGGCTTTATAAACTGCAAAAATAATTTGACAGAAATGCAGTTGGATTCTTCAGAACCTATTTCTGACTGTCCATCAATCACTTTGTATGTCACAGGGGAGCCCAATTATGAAATGCATTAAGCTGAGATAATAGAGGATCATTCCAGTTAAGAAGCAATTTCAGCTTCATAATTTTTATTTTTTTCTACTTGCAATGTTACAATGGTATCCTTGAAGGGCTGAGTTTTGTAAGGAGGGGGTGTGTCTAATTTAGTAGTTAAGTCTGGCAGATGTTCCAGAAAGGCTAACATCACTTACAACTAGGGCTGTCAACGTTAATGCATGCGATTAATTATAAAATCCTTCCAACACGTTAAAATAATTTAACACAGAAATACAGACTGAACGGAACATCAAAACATCCCACCGCTGTATGATTCACAAACTATGTTTTCTCGGCTGGATAAAACAAACAGCTTCTCTTTATTAAAGTTTTGATGGTTGAGGACTATAATTAAGGTAAAGACGTTGCAGTTATGTGAAGGAGTCATACAGTAAGCATGCATGAGGCTGATATACTGATGCACAAACAAACTGTGTATGAGTGATCTTGACACACACATCATACATTGTATTTATGCAAAGACACATTCAGGAAATTTTTTGATTTGTCATGTGTATGTTGCTGTGTTTAGTCATTCTGAATGGATCCGTGTACTGTAGTATGAATATGCAGTCAGCCCAAGGCGTTTGGTTGTTTTTGGGTTTTTTTGTATCTCCATGTGGTCATGTTTGGTATTGCAACATGACTTGTCTACTGTACACGTACTATGCACAATTTTTTTTAACTAACATAACTGTTGTTCAGTAAACCCGTTAGAAATTTATAATTAGACAAATTGATATATTATCTATATCAAGATGCAATTTACTCAAGCAAGACATTTCTGGATGAATGTACTCTGTTAACTAAGCAAACATCAAGACAGTCTTGAAAGGCTGTAAACAGAACAATAATTATGACGCCAGATGGCGTTTAAGAAGCAGTTCCTTCTGTCTCACCGCAGTGTCTGCGTTTTTTTCTCTCTGTACTGACCCAAAACTTGGTCAGTTCTTACCTGAATTTCTGGATACTCTACACTGCAAAGAGTTTTCCATCATGCTCTTAACACACAGGCAGACACCTGCACCGTACATCTGACAAAGTTTAAGCTTAATGGTTTGAGGTAATTTCTTTACATCACAGCCCAGAATTAAAAAGCCTATATTATGATTATTTATAAGTTCATGATTTTATTTCTGGTGTCTGATAGAATACATTTACATGATTTAAGAAAAAAAAACTTTTTTTTAACATTACTGCAGCACTTCTAGTCTCTCTCTGTCTGGAAATGTAATGGCCCTTACTTATCAGGTTTCAGCTCCTGAGGTCTCATCAGCAGCTGTAAACAGTTTATATCTACGATAATTCAGGCCTTGGTATTGGAAGTCCAAACAATGAAATAATGTTTTTTTACCCTTGCAGGGAAAAAATAAAACAGTGTATCCTCGACATCACTTACCAAACTGTTCTTTGAGGGTGGACCAAAGCAGCCAGTAGGCACATTATGCAAATGTGTAACAGGGTGATGTAGCTAAGTCATGTAAATAATGGCAGGACTACAAAGAAAGCATTTCAGGCAAGTGTTTTCTGTTAGAGAGATTAACTCCTATTGGCAAGAACTTTGTACAGTTTGTAAGTTTGCATGCACAAACAGCTATACACACTAAAGAAAAGGTCAAATTGAAAAAAACAATAGATGCCATTTAAAGGGGTCATATGATGTTGCGAAAAAGAACATTATTTTGTGTATTTGGTAAAATGCAATGCATTTATGCGGTTTAAGATTCAAAAAACACATTATTTTCCATATAATGTACATTATGGTTTCTCCTGTATGCCCCGCCTTTCTGAAACGCGTCGATTTTTACAAAGCTCATTGTTCTGAAAAGCGAGGTGTGCTCTGATTGGCCAGCTATCCAGTGTGTTGTGATTGAGATATTACCAAAAGACCAAAGAGATATTCTTTATCAAAGTTAAGACTCTGCCACGCCCCCCTAAAATGGCTCGTTCTAACACGCCCACACATATCTACCTCACTATGTGGAAATATTTGCATAATGCCGCCCAAATGTACACGCAAAGAAAGAAGGCGTGGTTTCAGTAACTGCAGTTAGTGTTGAAGCAGCCATGTCAGGGAGACGCTGTGTTTCTAGGCAAAAGCAAAAGCACTTTATTTGGCCTTCCGAAAGTAGATGCATTTAGGAATCTTTATGATTACTTACAACAGAACAGCAATGCATTTTATGGACGACCGTTTCATGAACCTAGGAGAGGAGGTAATTCTGACTTTGCTATGACAATCTGGGGCTTCTGAATCAGCTACTGTTTTATTATTAGTTTAAGTATTTGCTATTGACTGTTCAAATGTGGAGTTTTGCGCATCGTGTGTGTGTGTGTGTGTGCGTGTGAGAGAGAGAGAGAGACAGGGTCACATCACAGTGGAGTCAGCTGTCTTAACCGTAGCTTGTGTACTGCAAACACATACCAGCTTCATCACTGTGTCTGTCACGCGACTCTGTTCCCCTTTCAGGCTATGTCTTTACATTTATTTTGAAAGATGAAGCTGGCAATTATGGTAAGGGCCGTTACATTTCCGACGCATGCTTGCGGTGTTCAGCCAATCACAATGCACTGGGTCAGCTGGCCAATCAGAGCAGACTGCGCTTGTCGGAAGGAGGGACTTTGTTGAAAACGAAGCGCGGACAAGTCTTGACTTTTATAAATAATTTCTCTTTGGATTTGAGACTTTAGTCTTTGCAACTTTACAGATCTTCTTTATGCACCAAGAGCTTGTAACACTCCAACGAGTGTTACATGACCCCTTTAAATAAAACTCATGTGCCCTAAAAGCAGAACCCTTCAGAGCTGAGATGGCGTTATGCAATATTATGTAACTGCATATGGCTCACAAAACAAGGACTTCTGCATTCAGCAGCATCTCATCAGGGTCAACAATACTGCTACTCACTCTACAGTGGAGCTTCAAGTTCATTTGTCAAGATTCATGCACCCCAGCTAAAAATATATTTTGAGTTTATTAAAAGAAAGAAAGAAAGAGAGAGAGAGAGGTGGAGGAGGACGATGGATACATGAGATCAATTTAACAATGAATCCTGACAGTGCTCTGCAATGCAGCTCTGCAAATGTGCAAAGAAACTAACATGACTTGTCCACTAACTAAATATTCACCGTTGTTGCTGGTCACAGCTAATGCTGGTTATGAAGGCATGACATTGCTACATATAATTATTTCATTTTATAAAAGAAAAAGTTCAACAGTTAGAGGAAGCTAAAAACTACTGTTTATAAAGTTTTAAATATGGATATTTTTCTTACAAAAATGCATCGATTCGCTTCAGGAGGCCTTTATTAATCCCCCGGAGCAGTCTGAGACACTTTTTATAATAGATGGATGCGCTTTATTGGACTTCTATTGGACTATTGAATAATGACACCCATTCACTGCCATTATAAAGACTGGAAGAGCCAGGACATTTTTAAATAAAACTCTGATTGTATTAATCTGAAAGAAGAAAGCCATATACACCTAGGATGGCTTGAGGGCAGTGGTGTATAAAGTACCTGAAAGCCATACTCAAGTACAACTACAGATATCTTACCAGAAAATGACTTTGGTAGAAGTTGAAGT